CGGCGTAATGATATACCATTGCGACTTGTGAGATACTATATCAGCCTGTCAGACGCTTTGTGATTCTAGCCGAAAGAGGAGTTGTGGCGGGATAGAAAGGCACGCCGCGTTATGTCGTTGAAATCTAGATGCAGTCTGTGTGTGATCTCGCTTGTGAGCTGGGTTCTCATCTAGTTGAGATCGAACTGAGTGTGGGTACAAGCGCGAGATACAGAAGCCCTACCGCACGTGGTCGCAGGCGTGGTCACGTGAGCACGTCCGACGATAAACTTGAGAGTGACGTGTTGGCGCGCTAACCAGAGCATCAGGCATATAATTATAGTACAGGTGCGGCAGAATAGATCGCTATGACGGAGAAGACGGCGGTCGCCGGCTGTTATGGCTTGTCTCTCTCGTACAGAGAGAGCGCCGTGATGTTGTATGCTGAGGAAGCTAAGAAGACGCTTAGAGTCATCGCGCGCCAGTTGAGCGGGCTGAAAAACAAGAGCAGAGTTTGTAGCAGTAAAGATGTGGATTTAAAAGAAAACCGGGATGGGGTTTTAAGAAGAAAAAATGTTAATGATGACAAGGCGACACTTAAATCCCCACAAAATCTGATCTTTATTACAAGTGTATACATAGTTCCCACATGACGTCACGTACATACGGGGGATTTGCCGACCCGGCGCCATTTGTGTTGGCATGCTGTGGGCCATAACAATAGAAAAAAGAAGCTGAAACGTGTTAATGTCGTGATAAAGTTGAAAATGGTCATCTCCTGCTGGGTCAATGGATGTTCAAATCGTGCCGGAGGTTCCGTTTAAACTTGGATTTTACAGTATACCCCATCATTAGACTTCATGAATGTGAGAAGACTAAGCTTTTGTCAGAAACAACCACGGAGGTTATGGCTTGCGAAGATAAACAGGCAAGAAACTCCCTCAAAAACACGCAAGAATATGCTCGGAGCACTTTGTGTCAGGTGCGTTATCGATATCTCCTAATTTGTGTCAGACGTAATTTACTTCTTGATACATGTCTTATTCATCAAGTATATCGCAAATTCTTATATCTCATGCTATCTGTGAGTATATCTGTTTGTTCAGGCCACCTTTTAAGACGTTGACGTCAAAGAGTCTTTAGTGCATATCATGACAAAAGTACCAGCAGAATGTTATCGCGTGCTGACTCCAGAGTTAATTACTTTGAATGGTGCTCTGGAGGGTTGACCAGAATGGGTCCATTGCGTGTGTTCAAAAATAGAGGTTTTTTTCTTAAGGGTACCGAGGCTCTCGATATGGGCACCGTAAATGTATTAATAGATTCCTAATGTTTATGTGTGCCGCGGTAGAAAACAATGTTGCACAGTACAGCATTGCTTCTGTAAAGACTATCAGTTTCAACAAAAAAGCACCTGCTCTTTGCAGCCTGAAAGGACATGAGAGAATACTGAGGTAGTTCGTACATCGTCCTATAACACCACATCTAACATAAACCACCTGGGCTCAACATCCTATACAACATGCCATTTAAGATAACCCAATTCAAAGAATACATACATTGTCACAATTTCCTAAAATTAGTTGTAAACATGTCCTGATCACTAGACCGATTACACGCCTGAACTCATCCAAAGTCTTGACCCTACTCTATCGATGACCCTAAGTCCGATATCTTTTCCAGTAACTACACAAGTACTCTAACTGTTAATAGTCTCCTCTGAGATCATACTTGTCCCTCGCGAGCTACCAGCGCACTTCCTGATATATCTCTATTGCATTTCTACATTTCCTCCTCATCAAATATATAGATGTTAAACCTCGTTAGTCATAAGTCAAGCAACAAATAGATCTCTCCTATCAGCTACTGATGTTACGTAGTAGCTAGTTATCCTTTTCCCTGTCTATGACGCCCATGAACTAACATTGTCATTGCACTGATCATATTGTAAGAGCACTCATGATGATCTTATAGCCAATGTGATGTTAAAGATCGGAATGGTGAACTTATCTGTCCTATTACTACTGACAATCTGTAGGACTGCTCCATCTCAATAAATTGTGATGAGTATACGTATGATATCTCTCCCTATTAAAGCTAATTGTTGATTGATATAGATTGTTATGATGATTGTCATTACGGCTTCCCACTTCTCAGAATATCCGGACCTTGAGAATTTAGGGCACGCGGTGCACTGCGATAGGAGAGATTGCCAGAAGCCTGAACCCCTAGGCGACATGTGGGAAAGATATTTTCACCGTTCGAGCTCTCGCAATTTTCTTAGTCCGCATTTCCATGTATCCAGTTCAATTCTCCGTCCGCCATCCTTCAGGTTTAACAGAGGATGATAATATTATGGTAAATTTCGTGTTTAACTGTCCCACAAGGCATGTCCAGAGTGTGGGATCTGTACAATCTTGACTGTAATAGAGGAATGGCGATTCTCGCTTTTAAGCAGCTTCAGCACTTGGAGAAGACAGATCCATGGCGCGATTCGGAAGGGTGGTTCGTTTGACTCCGTCGACGATTCTGGGGGTGTCGCGGATGAGAGTGTCCTCCGCGCCGTCATGGAGAGGTAACTCCGCTGGCTGACGTCTATACCTAGAAATATAAGACTTTCGCTGTCTGCTATTTCGAATTTGGAAGAGCAACGCGAGACTCACCGAGTAGGTCGACTCTTAGATTCTTTTATAGGGAGGATGTTTTGCGCTAGTGTTGCCAACTCCCTTAAAAAAAAATAAGGGCACTGATTTTGCGTGGGCCGACGGTCCCCTATTTCATTTATCCCCTCTCTCTACAATATACACGCAACCTTAATTTAATTTCATTCATATTTTGTGAGTAACATTAATGTCTTGTACACACAAACAAACATATCCCTCAAGATTTCACTTAAAACCAACAATCAGAACCACACTATCTCATCACCCACCTCCAACCCAAAATTCACCCCATGCAAGCCTTATCCTTCATTTCTACCACACATTCACAAATCATAAATACATGCATCTAATCCCTAATTCCACTCATTACACTCAGTTAAACTTTCCCCTAAAATATATGCCGACCTAAGTCCACACTTTCACACAAATCAATATCTGAATCTATGTGATACACGTGTACTGTCTAGCTCCACCATCCCTTTCTCTCAACACATCGTGAGAACTATCTGTCCACCCTCCCAAATAATATCATATAACA